TTAGAGTGTGCATATATATAAATTAATAAATAAATATTTCTTATAAATAAATAAATAAACAAATATATATATATATATAAGAAATATTTATTTATTCTTTTTTTTTATTGGATTCGTTTTTTTTCTAGTATTTTGGAAACAGATTATCAGATGGTCTCACTGAAACACAGATGCAAAGAATAACAGAATTGTTTTCCACACTTTATGATTTTTTTTAATTATGTAATTAAGATATAAAAATTTTATTTTTATAAGTTTATTTAGAAAATGGTATATTGTAGATATTGTTTTTATACATTCTATAATTTTCTAAATATCTAAATATGTACTATTAATATAATGTAAGAAAATAAAATATCTAAAAATATATATCGTATTTAAATCATTTATAAGGTATATTTTAAGATTTTAAATATATTTTGAACTGTATCTGATTTTATATAATATATATATATATAATGTAAGAAATATTTTATATATTATATAATGTTTATATATGTATATATAATTTTATATAGATTAAAAAATTGGATTATGTTTTGTCTGGTATTTTGGAAACAGTAGTGGTTAATGGCAAATCCCCACTTAAACAATTGTGTGTGTCATAAACCTAGAAAATACACACAAATATGAACAAGCAGAAGCACAGAAGACGCTCCTCAATTTGTAGAAGTACCAAACAAACATGTTTTAGCAGCTTTTACTATTTTTTTTTTGTTTTTGTGAATAGAATTTGATGTGCTTCTTCACATCTTTTCTTGAAAGGCTTCAGAGCCAGGCTTATTTTTGTGTCACACAGTAATTCCTTGTCTGTTTTTTTCTCTCTCTCTCCATTTTGCCTCAGCATCTAAAAAGACCACAGAGCAACAGTCAAAGAATTAAACACAAACAGAGAGAGCTGCAGGAGGGAATATAAAATGCACAAGTGCAAATTGTTAAAAAAAAAAAACAGGATGAAAGAGATATACAGCGGAGGAGAAAAGAAAGAGGCAATGTCCTGAAATATCGTAAAATTAAATGGAAAAAAGAAGAAAACCTATAAAAGAAACACACAAATAAATAAATAAAACCCAAATCATTAATATAATAAAACATGACATATTTCCTCATAAACAAGCTTTTGTTTTTCTTGTTTCAAACAGAAATGTACTTATGAGGACTCAATGAGAACTATGGGAAATTCCTACAATTTCACAGGGATTTGGTTGAAGGAACACTGAAGCATGTGTTGTTGTGAATGTTGTGACATTCCAGACAGAGAAGCTGGGAACTATATATTCATGGTCCTGGAATTAAAGGAAATTCATATCTAGTGATTTTTTATTCTACAGACATTGAGTTATTTGTGCATCTCTCTCTCTCTCTCATTCTGTCTTCCCTTCAGTCTTTGTTGGATCGATTTGCACGCTCCATCTGTGGAATCCGTCATGACGGCCGGGGCTCTCAGTGGAGGCCGTCACCTGCCCTGGAGGGGGTGTAAGGGGCATGAAGAAGGCCAAAGGTGGGTGGGTGGCAGGGCAGAAAGGGAAAAGGGTGGGCCGGGTAGTTCAAGTGCTCAATCTCTTCAAAAACCCATTTAGAAATAGCACAGAAGCACCTGAAACTTGGGATGTGGACACTGCTCTGAATAATGAGTCTTCTGTGGCTTTTCTTTTACTGTGTGTGCACTCACATATAACTTTCAACCAAAGTTTTATCATCATATACTCATTTGTGTTCTCATTTGTGAAAGCATGCAAGATTCATGCATGTGATTATTAAATCTAGGAGTAATTTCTAAGTAATCTAACCCTTAAATAAACCCTTAGGTTTTGTTGGTGTAATCTAATGCATTTAGGGTGATTCTGTGAATATATATTATATATTAAGTTTTATATTTTATTAATTATATCTTGAATTTTTTTTTTACTACATTTTAGGTTAAAACTACCAAGCTCAACTAGGTGGCTGCGATCTTCTGTGCTGATTTTTAATAAATGTTTTACTATGTTTGTCTATGTAAATATGCTCTAGACACAACTGATATTAAACAGCTTTGGTTCTCACATCATTAAAAGGGATCGCAATGTGGCAAGTTTAAAAAAAATGCAATCTCTAATAAGATTTGACGCCAGAATCAGTAAAAAACGACTGTGAATTTGTGAATCTATTGTATGACTTACTGTAAGAAAATATGAAATATAGTGCACATGTTTTATGGACTACTTTTATGGTGCTTTTTTGTCAATTTAGGCAACTTGACATGCAGGTTTTTGTCTTTTGTCTTTTTTTTATGGAAAAGTATTTTCACAAGAAAGAAAATACAGGATCGGAAAAATACAAGGATGAGTAAATATGGTCAAAATGTTCTTTTTTGACATCTGATGATCTAGTAGCCAATACCGTTAAATTTAATTTTGTTGGTGTAACAATGTATTTAGGGTGATTCGGGTGACTATAAATTCTATTCTATTCTATACTAAGTTATTATATTAATTATGTTTTTGATTTGAATGAAATCTTGAATTTAGAGGTAACCACATTTTAGGTTCTTCTGTGCTGATTTTTAATTACATTTTTTAATATGTAAATATGCTCTAGAAATGATTGATAATCAGACCGCTTTGGTTCTCATGTCGCGCAAAGTTTAAAAAATCTCAAACGAGATTTGACACCAGAAAAGATTGAACAATGACATCAAGTTCTTCACAAAAATCTATCCTATGATTTCAGGAGACTTGATAAGTATTTGCATGGACTACTTTTGATACCTTTATGGTGCTTTTTGTCATTTTAGGAGCTTGAAAATTGTATGGAAAAAATGGTATCAGTGTTCATTTTTGACATCTGATGATCTGGTAGCAAACAAGTCAGCATTGCATTTTTATATTTTTGCCGACTGAATGAGAATCAAGGCAAGTGAATAAACAGAACCAAAGAGCAAACAGTAAACACAAGTTTAATTCGGGCAGAAGAATACAGACCACAGGCTTCTAAACACACACAACCAAAACCCAAACGTCATGGAAATGGAACCGCTGGAGAATCTAGAGATATTCTGCCTTCTGTAAATACAGAGTGTGTATGTGTGTGTGTGTGTTTTCAGGTCTTTGGCATGTATAGCGTGTAGTGTGCATGAGTATGTGTTTTAAGATATTTCAGCTCTCCGCTATGTAAACGGTGCGGTCACTAAAAGCATCTCCATCCGCCGTTTCTCCTAAGCTCTGGGCCCTCGTTGCTTAAATTCAATATTTGGAGGCAAAATATCACCCTGAGCCCATTTACCTCATGCGTTCATGTACACAGAATCCACCTAAGGAGTTTCATTAATACTGCGGGACGGCGAGCGCATATCCAGCAGGCTTTTGCACTTAGTTTTGGTTGGGGGCAAGCGGCAGCGGTCCAAGATAAAACCATATGTGCGTGTGTAGAGTTAGTCTGTGTGTGTGCGTGTGTGTGTGTGTGTGTGTGTGTGTGAGGACAAAAGAAAGCTTGGGAACAAATGCAGCATCTCGGACAGGGGAGAGCGAGGAGGGTCCTTTTCAGCGCCGAGGTTGGCTGAGTGACTGCCCGACTACATTAAGCAGTACATAGAGAACTAACAGATGTCGGAGACAGAAAGGATGAGTGACAGCTCGTGGGCCCATCTGCCCCCCAGCGTTTAGGAACAGAGAGAAACAGAGGGAGGACTTGACTTGCTAAAGAGCAACTGTGACCCTCGCAGCTGCCCTCAAACAACCACACGTTCCAGCTCGAAACCAAATGTGCTCTTGGTCTGTTTAGCCTCTTTTGCTTTGCTCTCGAGTCACTTTTGATACGTGTTTTTGGTTATGTGGCTTTTGTAAAAGAAGCTAGTGTGTGAAACAGCATGCAGTATGCAACTATAAACATTTCAAAGTAGAATGGTGCACGATATTGCTTCATCACACTTGGCTTCAAGTAATTAATTAGAGATGATTATTTTGCATTTTTAATCCAAGTTTCTGTAGAAACGCTTTAGCTTATACTACCGTTCGAAAATGAAATGAAATGAATACTTTTATTCAGCAAGGATGCATTAAACTGATCAAAAGTACAGTAAAGACTCATATTACAAAAGATTTCTGTTGCAAATAAATGCTGTTCTTTTGAACCTTCTATTCATCAAATAATTATCATAGAAAATAAAAATGATCGTAGTTTCCATACAATTTTTTTCAACATGTTTCTTGAGCAGCAAATCAGCATATTCGAATGATTTCTGAAGTTGGTGAGCATAAGAGATTTCTTTTGAAAACATAAAAAAGACTGTATGTCAGTACGATCAGAAAATAAGTCAAGAATAAGATCGCCATTAATATATCATACTGGAGATGGAATATCAGGTCAATGCATTGCATTGTATATAGTATTTCTTACATTGTATACATTGCATATTTTGGCAATTGTGCTGATCATTTTGTGCATACAGAAAATTTGCATACTATACACTTACTACAGAAATAGTACTAGATTAATATGCTAGTATGTACATAGTGTGCAGTTAGTGCCTTTATGCTGAAGGGAATAGCAGTTAAAACAGGAAGTGGTCACCTGTCACTCTAAACATACACCAGTGTGACCTTTGATCACTGGAGGTCAAACACCAGTGACTTCGGACTGCTCTGTTTAACAAATGAAAACACATATTCAGAAAGTGTTTGTTGGCCATCACCTAAAACAATGTACCACATTTTTTAAAGCAAACTAAGCAAGAAACTGCACTTTGTGATTGTGATTAGGTGAGCTGATTCATGTTTTCATACTTAAGTCCTATAGGCTCACTTATCAACTATCCAATAAAAAGCAGCCTCCCTGAACTCTCTCAGTGTTGTTTTCGTGCTGTCTGTGTCCTAACTGACACGCACACTGTAGTTTTGCCTTCAGGGCCTGAACTCAAGCAGACACAGATTCCTAAGTCTGCTGACACTGACACTGCACGCTGGACACAATGGAGACAGTTTTGTTTGGGGGGTTTCCCCTCATTGTCCATCCAACTGTACTCCTCTCACTGTCTGTCGCACTCTGTGTCAGAAAAGGATGCAATTTATGCTTTAATATTTCATATACAATAAAAAACACTAATCTATATCAATCTGTTGTTTTTTATTCCTAACCCGAGACCAAATTTGCACCTGTAACTCCTCCTAGAGATTTTAAGGCCAAGTTTGTATTGACGAAGTTTCCTTTTGTAGGGTTTGGTGGTGCATTTGTGTTTGTTTGTTGAATTACGACCCACTGACTACACACTCCATGGTGCCACACAAACCATCCCGCACTGGGCCAGTTGGCACTGTTTGTGTATGCATGTGTACGTGTGTGCATCCATGCGTGTGTTTGCGTGTTTGTGCATGTGCATATGTTTGGCGGCGTGTGCATACGTGCATATTATAGGAGTGTCAATCATTTTACACTTTTCTAAATATGTTTCTCAGTATCATTTTCTGTTTGAGCATACTAAATATATCTGTTCCAATAGGACACAATGCATGCCAGGAAGCGAACAGGGAACATTCTCAGAACTTTGTGTAATGTTCTGGCAAGGTTATGAACAAAGATTCTTCCTGTAATGTTAACAGAACGTTGGTCTTTAATATCATTCTCAAAAATTTGCATAAAAACATTATTTATGCATGTTCTTTTTTCTAGTTGCATGTTTGTCTAACATTTTTAAATGTTCAGAAAACAATCAAAAGTTACATTCACATAATATTTGCAGAATGATAAAATGGAATGTTCTCTTCATGTTTTTTCTGTTCACAATAACATTTTTAAAAAACTGGACGTTTTAGAACGTACAGAGAATGATTAGAAATAACATTTTAATAGCTTAATGGGAACATTAGCAAAACATTCTTAGAACATGTTTTTATTAGCTTGGAAGTTTCTCTCAAAGTTATGACCAAACATCTGGGTCCGTTAATAGAACGTTCATTCAAAGTAATCTGGTATGTTTTAGTATAACATTTAACATTTGTTGCACATTTGCCTAAGGTTCTTTTTAAACGTTACTACTTATAGTTTCAGATGGTTCAGAGAACATTCAGTTGTAACATTCCCATAATTTTTGTGAAATGATAAAATAGAACTTTCTCTTAATGTTTTTTTTCTAATGTTCAGTTCACATAACCAGGAAAACATTTAAAAAACAAGACATTTCGAATGACAGAGAACATTAAGAAATTATGTTTTAATAAAGGGAAAATTTTTCATAAAACATATTTTTGTGAGCTAGGATGAGGGGATTTTTGGAGGACAGCAAACAGAGAGATTTCATAACCTACAGACTCCCCGCACACACGCCAACATCTTTGAGTCTTTAAGATGATATATGGAGACAGTATGAAGGAAAGGGTTCAGGAATCAAACTGTTGCCTATTCAAAAGAAGGGTGTATATACTGAACTCAACTTGCCTGTCTGTGTCTCCCAGAAAAGGAGGGGCGGTGGGAATGGAAGGGACTGACAACGGCCCACAGATATTAACCGAAAATGCGCCGCAGGCCAAGAGAGGTAGAACGGGGCATGAGGAGGACAGAGGAGAAAAAGAGCAAGGCGCGTTTGACTCATTGGCCAGATGAAAGTGAAGTTCAAATAAAGAGCCTGATTTAAACGGCTTGGGCAACTCGTCTTTCTTGGATCGCGAGACGGGCAGAGCGTGACGGACAGGCTTTGTGGCAGCGCACATGACGAGAGGCTCACCCCCATTGTGACCGCCGCTCCGGGCCATGAAGGAACAGCCGAGGAGAACACTTGTCCCTATTGACGGAAATAGCCTTTAATAAACTCCCATTGCCATTAAGTGTGACTCTGCATCCAGATCAGTATTATTTAGGGAGCTGAAGTGGTGTTAGCAGGGCATCAGAGGCAGTCAAATAACGTTCACCTTAATTAGTCACGCAGGGACAGGCTGTTAGCTCATTAAATATCATTACAGAACAGCAAAACATCAGTCACTTCAGCTGTCGGCCAGTAGGCAGCAAGAAGGCAAAAACAGACTCTCCTCCACTGTTCTTCATCAACTCTTTCCTTTTGATTCCTCTGAGGCCTCTTTGCACAGAAATGCTACAGATGTCCTTCCTTAACAATTCATTGTGTTGTCATATTTTTGTCTTTAATGTGTCTTTAATATTTATGATAATTTCTGTTCAGAGAACAGAAAAAATCAGAAAGAAACAGTCATGTAGGTTTGCAATGTCATGAGGGTGAGTAAATTATGACAATTTCTTCTTTTGTATTGATTATCCAATTTGTTGTACATAACTTATATTTTCCCTTATTTTTTTTATTTTTAGTGAAATGTAGAACTCCATTTAAGATCCTCATTGCCTTTCATTGCCTATCATTGTGGCCACATTAAACCTACTCTTTCCAGATTTCCAACATGTTTGGTGGCTTCTTCCTCCCCCTTCCCTCATGCCTGTTGCATAATACTTATTAATATACTTAGGAATTATTGGTTATTGATCATCAGTAAATCTAACTCATCATTAATGCAAAGAAATATTACAAGTCAATACACCACATTTTTGTTTATATTTCTGCTTTATAAACTACCAATCAAACGTTTGGGCTCCTCATTGTATATAATAAATTCATAAAGTCATCAAAATAATAAAGTCATCAAAACTATGAAATAACACAAATTAAAATTTACAAATATGCACTGACCAAGAAACGTTAAACTAATGAAACTGTCTAGATTACAGCTCTACACATTCTGGAAATTTCATAAAGTGCATCCTGGGACACTTCTGGACAGTCTTGTTGCCCTGCTTTCCTTCATTATGCAGTCTGTCCATTTAAAAAAATGTTTTGCTGAGAAATTCATACTTTTTGCTTTTCAAGCACAATTTAAAAAAATTGCTTTTGTCTGGTAGTGTAGGTTAATTTCTTTCTTTTGCTATGGCTAAAATGATAAGAACCATTATGAGTTTGTATCACCATTATAGTCCCCAAGTGTTTCAAGCCATTTATATATTCATAAAAAAATATGTCTATCATTCTAATTAAATTTCAGTTTGTTAAAGTCACATCTTTCCAACAACTCCAGATCAATTACAATTACAGTTATTTCTAAAACCTGTTAAAGAGTTTGTAGGATCCACTCACATCTGTCTGCGAGAATCCCCTCGATGCTGTGTCCGCTCCTGCGGGCGTGTTCTTCCTGCTCGCGCTTGTCCTCTTCATCCTCCTCCTCCTCCTCCTCCTCCTCGTCACCTCTTGCGCCATATCTGCCTCTCATGATGCGGCTTATCGCACTCACTGGACAAGAGTTCAACCGTGCTCTTAATATGTTTTATATCTTTTAATATAGAAATATGCATTTCAATAGTATACATTTCATTTTTCAAACGTTTCAGTCACTAAGAAAGTTAGATGTCAAGTTAGTCTGAGTGTGTGATTTAAGTTTTGTGGTTACTAAAACTAGTGAAGACAACAGAAATGGAGTTCGCCAGGTAAACATAGCAACAGTACGTCGATCTAGCGTAGGCCCTATGTTGACAAAACATTGTTTATCGCTGTATTATTTACTATAGATTTTATGCATATCACAAGAAAATGTATAACAAGTTAAAAAAGTTATTATTATAATTATTTTTTTTTTTTGCACACTGTAGTTCATGTATTTTTTCGTTTTGTTTGACGCATACCTGAGGGTACGTTGTTCCGGTCACAAATTCCCTCTTTGAGCAATTTATCCTGAATTTCCCAACTGAATATTCCGGGATTTTCCCGTTTATATTCCTCAACGCGCTTCTCCACATCTGGAGATGTAGTCTGTTAAAAATAATAAAAATTAAATAAAGACAGTCAACAAGGTGCCTGATTCAATTCAAAGACTCTTAGTTCAAATTCAGGGTCATTATGTCAAAAGACAGTAGGCGTTGTCGGTCAGTCATCGACCTGTTGCTTTGAGTTTATCCGCAAATTTCCTTGGAAATATCCGCATGCCCAGCTGCAACAGATGGATCCGCTGACTAAATAAATAAATAAAATAAATATAAATAAAAATATCCGCACGCCCAGCTGCAACAGATGAATCCGCACTTCAATGCCTCCCTATAGGGCCTCACCTTGGATTTAGTGCCGCCGATGGCTCCAGGCCGGATGGATCCAGTCTCCTGATAGCGGCACAGGATTTTGGAGACGCAGCCATGAGAGACTCTGAGCTGGCGGGATATCATGCAGGGCCGGATCCCGTGATGGGCCATCTCCACTATCTTATGTCGAATGTGATTCGGTAGAGGCCGGCCGTTGATGAAAACTCCTCCAAGCTGGTTGACTCGACCCTGACCCATCGGAGTTGACACTGCATCGAAGCCAACCCAAATGATGACAGTGGAGAAATAACATAATTGCAGAAACATGAAATTAAAAAATCATGCTGCATATATTCCTAAAATAACTTTAGTGTGCTTCTGGGGTAAGACGGTTCATAGACTATAGGCTCCATGTGCATTTAATTCGCTGACATATTCAGGTGTTTCTAAACGTAAAAAAAAAAAGCAACCCAGTAAAACGTCAGTATGATTGCTGCTTTAAATTTGAGGTAAACTAAAAGTGGTGCTAAATTTACAATCATGCTATTTGAAATTAATGACTGATTGAGAAACTCTAAACTCATGCAATCGAGTAGAAATTAAAGGAATTATTGCTATAGATGCATGGAAACAAATATAGCCTGTTGCTAATGATGAAAATACATAAATTATGCCGATTAAAACAGCCTTTTTTAACAGTCGTTTTTTTTTTTAGCTGGGCTACATCAAGAACCTTTTTTTCATCTAAGAACCTGAAGCACAATGTACAGTGAAATGGTTATTAGTTCTTCATACTGTATGGGTTATTTGCTAATGCAAAGAATCACTGAAGAACATTTATTTTTCAAGAATTCAAAAAAAAATAAACTTAATACAATGTAGGCTTGCAACAGTCAACAACTTTTAATATTGTAATAAAATATTTGCATTTTAACAAAAATGTATTGCTAAATTAAAAACAAAATAACAACCGTTTTCAGTTAAGTTAGTCTACACATGCAACCCAGATTCCAAAAATAGTTTACACTTTGCCTCAGATTTCCACTATGAAATTCAATTATTTTAATGTGCATATTTAATGTAACAGTTTACCCTCCATTGGGAAGCCACTGCGGGGATAGTTTTGAGAGAGAGTTGGACGCATCATCCTGGGAACGGTCCCTGCCAAGCCACTAAAAGTGCACTTCAGCGGGCTTAAAAATTCATGTAAATATTCCACGAATAAAAACAAAAATGATAAGCTCCGATTATCTTTTTGTATCCCTCCAGGGAAAGCAGAAAAATAAGTACTCGAGGATGAAATGTTATTAATCAAATGTAGTCTCTTCTGTTTTGTGGTCCTTGGTCGTTGTTTTCATTATGTGACGAGAATTATAATCGCAGCGTTATTGTTATTAACAGACGTTTAGGATGAGCGCGAGTTCTCAAACTACTAAAACATTCATGAGTTTGCAGAGACCCTTGTCTATTACTCGAACAGCGCGTTCTGATTGGTCCACAGGATCCCGTAACCGAGAGCTGATTGGTCAAAGAAGAAGGCTACTTTGCTCTCAACGTTCCAAAGTGGAAGTCGAAGATTTCAGCGACTGATCTGAGATAGCGGCTTGCTGTTAATAGATGCATGATGATGTATCATCAAATCATACTTAAAATATTTTAAAAAAAAAATATATATATATACAGACATAATACAGACATGTAAACACTATTTAAATATAATAAAATAGCGAATTATAGGCTAATATCGTAACATGTTTTAATATAACTTTGGCTATTTAGTGACAGTGCAAAAATAATTTAATAACACAACAAATCAAAGACTGAAAATAATGAATCAATTTAAATGAACAAAAAGTTATTCACTTAAAATGATTGACTGTTATTTAACACTCTCTCCGACTCTTCCACACACACACACACACACACACACACACAGTGACTTCAATGACATGTGGCTCTTTTGTTGGACTAAAAAGAAACGTCAAATGTTTTCTTTCTGCCAGCGCGCGGGGACAATGGGGCGCACGCGGGAGGGAAAACACGCGGGGGAAACGTCCTTTCACGTGCAAAACACTAGATTATTCTCTCTTACTTAAAAAGTTAAATCAACGCCAAAGAGGTCGGACCCTGGAGACACCGACCCAACTATTTAATGGTTAACAATGAATGTGAGTGCGTGTTTTTTCATGAGATTCTATCCGATGCATTAATTGCATTATTCACTATTTTCCTGTCAGATTAATATCTTTTTATTACATGTGTGTTTATATCTGCTGTAGGCCTACGTCAACTTATATTACTACTTTTACACACAGAGGCTGAATATGAAATGAATGTCGATCATTCACAGAACATATGAAGTTTCGTTAATTCTAAAAAATACTAAGGTTCTAAATAGATTCAAACGGATGTGTGTTTAATGTGTGTTTAAAACAAAAATCACACAGAATATAATGTTTTTTTTTCTTAGGCTACTTTAAACTTTTGAAAAGTATAATCTATTAATGTGATGTGTGACACATCTAGAGTAGCTAAGAATAAATAATTTCTTCTTTATAATAGCCTACATGTTGGGTTCTTTTGTAGGGTTTATTCAGCATTAATATTCAAAAACAGAAGGTGATTGATTAAAAAGGAGAAAGGGGAACAGGCGGCGGAATGATGCATGTTTCAGCTTTGAAACACCGGATCCGCGTGTCGAATCCATTTTTGGGGAACAGATCTCGAGCAGAGGTGCGCTCTGATGAGAGCTTAATTGGTTTTATTATCAAGAGTCAAATATCAATATTCTCTAAGCAAATAGTGTCAACATTATTTGAATCGGTTTTACGAGTTATAACAAAGTTTTAAATGTATGCATGAAACAAAGACATTTGAATAGAGCTAACTGAGATCCCCTTACAGCATAATCTGATGTTGAGTATGTCGGTCAAATCTACCATTAAAATTAGACTAGGTTTGCCAGTGTTGTCAGGGAAAGGAAAAATGTTTAAACCTGTACAGGAATATAGAATTCACCAACACACACACACACACACACACCATTTGATGAACTTCTTGAACAGTGCATATGTTGTTTGTGTCATTTGTCTTGTGATCTGTCTTGTCTAGCCTGAGAAAGGCCATGCACCACCCCTTTAACCTCAATTAGATGGGGTTCACTCAGAGAAAACGTAAATCCTGCCCAAAGACAACTTTAGAATAAAATCATCTGTCCTGCATTTTCTGGCACAAGCATCCATGAGCTCCAGGCTACAGAACGCACTTAGCCAGGTACTGAAAACATTCATCATTCATTTTCATGCTATATAATAATCAAAATTTGAAGAAAGATTATAACCGGTCAACACCATTGTAGGCTATAGGCCTACCTGAATAAAATTACAATGTCAAACTTGGTCCTCACGTTTAAACGATGGAAAGTTGTCAGAAAACATACATTTGATACTCTATTTGCGTGAGTATTCACAGTAACATGTAAATATTAGCGGAAATAAAATATTTAATTTTACCCATCTTATTTATACCGTAAAAGGCGGCCATAGGCCTATTTTGTAACGTGAATGTTCGAAGCTTCCGGTGCAATTCGCTGTTATTTTACCTGTACAAAAACTGTCCGGTATGCTGCTTCATACTGCAAACTGGTATTTGTTTTCATGTTATTTTGATTTATCATCATAATCATAAACACACTTGTTTGTAGCGCAAATCATTTGACCATTTACTACTACTTCGATCTCAATTCGAACAGCTGAGTCTTTTTAGCCATTTTCAAAAAACATCTAAAGACACATATTTTTCGCCAGCACCTGACCAACTAATACTAGCACTTATCTATTCTATTCTGTTCTGTTCTATTCCATTCTATTATTTAAAAAATAACCAAATAAACAACACCCTATAGCTACGTGTACTGTGCTAGACTAAGTGAGACTGTTGTTGTTCTCTCGTTGGTCTGATTGCTTCTATTCTCATTTGTAAGTCGCTTTGGATAAAAGCGTCTGCTAAATGATTAAATGTAAATGTACTTATTTTTCAGCAGCTAATGAAGTCTGGCACATTCTAAGACAATAGTAGGCCTATACTTCCGCGTTTCAAAATAATGTGGATAGATGCACACACATGCATGTCGTTTCATAATGTTTATATGAATTCATCAAAATGGCAGTTTCCTTCATTTTTCTTATTTATTAGCCAACCGAGAGTGTGTTCTTGTATGTAAACAGAACAATTTCAATGTGCTAATACAATTCAAACAGGTTTCACAACAATTATTGAGGCATAATAGTAAAAACACACATTTCCTAATTTCTAATGAACATATTACAGAGTATATAAGGGCTGTGTACAAAGCCCATGACCCTATGTAGTGTTACTAAGAGGGCTGGAGTGCATTAAGGGAAGTATAGTCATCCCAGGCAGTAACACTGGGTTCAGGTAAGTGCCGTGCAGTCACTGGGCCAGTGTGTGTGGGAGAAACAGACATATAAACAGATGTGCGCACATCAGGCCTGATGGTCCAGACAGTCACAGCGAAAGCAATACCATGAGAACAAGGGGAGATCACACTGAATGATACAGAAATATCAATTTCACTTGATGTGAACATTTTGATCGTCAGTTTCGTTCTTTACAGTTTGGTCCTTGTTCTTGTGAGTCAGCAAGACTGAGTTGACAGAGTTCACAACAGACTGTTTCTGTTTCGATTTCAGGCTCACATCTAGCCTATGAAACATCTGGACCAGGACAGAAGACGAGCATCTTATCTCTTCTCCTTATCCGCACCCCTGTTGAAAAGACCAGCATATATTGAGCTTTGAATGCTGGTGTCTCTTCCAGGCTTCTTAACCAGCAAGATTTTCTTGGTCCACCAGCTTCACAAACATGCTGCATTTTCCCAGCAAGAATAACCAGCGGTTTACACTACTATTCAAAGTTTGGAGTTGGTAAGATTTTTCAAGGTTTTTGAAACAAGTCTCTCATGTTCACCATTTATTTGATAAAATATAATGCATTTTAAAATTGATATGCATTTAAATGCATTTTAAAATGTAATGTGATGCAAAGCTGAATTTTCAGCATCATTACTCCAGTCTTCAGTGTCACATGATCCTACAGAAATCATTCTAATATGCGGGTTTGCTGCTTAAGAAACATTTTTGTTCATGATCAATGTTGTGCTGCTTAATATTTTTGTGAAAACCATGATTTTTCAGGATTATTTGATGAATAGAAACTTCTAAATCATTTACTTGAAACAGAAATCTTTTGTAACATTTTAAACGTCTTTCCTGTAACTTTTGATTTATATAATGTGTTCTTTCTTTAAAAAACAAACAAAAAATCTTACTGACCCCAAACCTTGTTGTTGGTCTTTTCAGCAGGGATCAAAAAGGCAGTAAACCGAGGTCATCGTATAAAGTAAAATGACATATATTGCCCAACAGAATGGCAGGAGGAGCTGTGAAGCTGGTGACTACATAACACTATTGCAATGCACACTACACTACTTTCTCTACAAATGTTGCTTTGTACAGCACGGATAACAGCAGACAATGGCTGTTTACATCCTTAACACTCAGGAAAATAACCTTAGCGTGTCTAAATCGCTGCTGCAATAATTCAAATACCCCCACATTCACTTTATAAAACCTTCCTTACAAAAATGTAAGCAAAACCTCACATGATTCACACAAATGACTGCATCACTACACTTGTCCACCAGAAGAGGGCAGACCTGGTTTAATCCATCACATCTGCCTACAACAACAGCACAAATGATCATATATCAAATGGTAAGCTTATATAAACTTCACTTGATAATTCCTATTAAAATGTTCCATTCCTTTAATAAATAAACCAATAAATAAAAAGTAAAGGCACGTAAGAGATAATTTAAAGAAGTAGTGATTGAAAATGATTTACACACCCTCATGTTTGCTCTTGTCCTATTTGGAACATGACTGTTTTTAATATTTCTCCTTTTGGGTTCCATAGATTGAATGAGAGGAATCGGGAATAACATGAAGGTGAGTAAATTACAGAATTGTAATTTTTGGATGAACTATCCCTTTAAGAGAATATGATCAAGTATGTTTACCATTCTAAAGAAAATGACCTTTACCCTAATAGAAGGAAATTTAGGCCATCTAGTGTCCTTTAATCATCGTCATCAAACCATTAACTCTAAACAATCAGCTGGACGATATTTTCAGTATAATGCCAAAGCGGGCTGGTTAGAATGTGTTTTGCACTCAAGTTAACAAGCCACAGTTAGCAGGATGAATATTTCAGTTTGTGACACCAAGACAAATAACCTATAGGAGAGATGCAAAGTATCATAAGTGG